TCGAAACCCCTTAGAATGAATTTTAATGTCAGTTAATAATAACGAATTTTAACATCAGTTAATAATTAATTGATTATTTAAGACAATGAATATGTGTTAATTATACGAATACGTGTCAGTAATTTGTGCTTTCTCTTTTTACCTTCTACTAAGTATCTTTTATATGTTTATATACATTTTTATATATTTATCTTTTATATATTTATATATACTTATCTTTTATATATATTTATGTATGTTTTTATATATTTGTCTTCTATATATTTATATACATTTTTATATATTTATCTTTTATATATTTATATATACTTATCTTTTATATGTTTATATATATTTTTTATTACCTTTTATATATTTTATTTTTCATATTTATATATTTATCTTTTATTATATTTCATCTTTTATATTTATATAATTTTTATTATATTTTATATATTTATCTTTTATTATATTTCATCTTTTATATTTATATAATTTTTATTATATTTTACATATTTATCTTTTATTATATTTCATCTTTTATATTTATATAATTTTTATTATATTTTATATATTTATCTTTTATTATATTTCATCTTTTATATTTATATAATTTTTATTATATTTTACATATTTATCTTTTATTATATTTCATCTTTTATATTTATATAATTTTTATTATATTTTATATATTTATCTTTTATTATATTTCATTTTTTATATTTATATAATTTTTATTATATTTTATATATTTATCTTTTATATATTTTTATATATTATCTTTTATATATCTTTTATATATCTTTTATATATCTTTCATTATATTTCTATATTATACATCTTTTATACATTTTTTACGCACGTATAAATATTTTGGTATAATTCATCGCTTCCAGCCTAGGCTAGTACACCTTCCATTCCAACAGTGTCTTTCTATCTTTCGTTGCATGAATACATTGTATTTATTTTACAATCTTGTCATATTAATCTTCACTTCATTTGTCTTATTATCTACAATTCACTTGCCCTTAAATATACTACATTCTGATTTATTTAAACTACTATCTAATTTAAATTGCCACTGCTGTGGGCGATCGTCCACGCGCGAATAATTTCTGATTTATCAACCAGAGACTGTTCAACTATTCGTTAGAAAAATGATCACTCGGACGTACGCTCGTCGTTTCACACTCTCCTCTTTCTCTCTCTCTCTCTCGTTCAATTATTTTTCATTCATCGTCAAATTGCGCGAAGAGAAGCTGGCACGTAAACACGCGCGTTTTAATAAAACACGTACAATTCCCCGGGTAAAATACGCGTCGCATGGGAACTTTTACTCTCTCGCTCGGGGGAATCGTTTCTTTTTGCAGCTGGATCTCCCGTCTCGCAATCCGTGACGCGCAGGTTGACAGGCGTTAATTTTATAACCCGCTTTTACATCGGGGAAAGAAGTTCTTTTCGCGTGCAGCGACCGTTTCTCGCGTCTTCCTCCTTTCATCGGGTGGTGGCCTCGATGAAAATTTAAAGAGAGCCTCGGAAAAGCAAGATGCCCCGTTAGCCCCTTAACCGGCGTCCAGAGACGCCCTGTTATGCACCACGTTAAAAAAGTCAATTACGCCCGGAAGCGGTTACGACGTTTATTTAATAAAGGGACAATCGAGAAGGAGAAAAGAAGAAACATTCGCCGCGTCATCGTCTTCACCTTACGAGTGAAAAATTTACTAGAATATATGTCGTACGTATAACAAGAGATGCACAAAATTTTATTCATATTCTTAACTTATATTAAATATAATACGGAGTTAAATTAATAATGTACATTAAATATTATATTGTGTTATAGTATTTAATTAAATATTATAATATTAATGTAAATTAATATAAATTTAAATATTACAATATTTATTAATCTACATATTAAATAAATATTATAATATTAATATAAATTAATACAAATTTAAATATTATATTTATTAATATAAATTAATATAAATTTAAATATTACAATATTTATTAATCTACATTAAATAAACATTATAATATTAATATGAATTAATATAAATTTAAATATTATATTTATTAATTTACATATATTAAATAAATATTATAGTATTAATATAAATTAATACAAATCTAAATATTACAATATTTATTAATCTACATATATTAAACAAATATTAGAATATTAATGTAAATTAATACAAATTTGAATATTATAATACTTATTAATCTATGTTAAATAAATATTATATTATATCCTAAATTTCTGAGGTTAACAATGACCTACGACACGACAAGAGCACAGCTTTTTATGGAAATTAATCGAGCGTCCTCTCTCAGCCTCGGTTATTTACCAACCGAGCAAGGAGCGGCGATTAATTCTCTCTCTCGTTGCGAGGACTCGGGCGGTTTTCTGAGCCCCCGCGACGAATTGTTCGCGCGCGAGTTTGCAACGGGAATGCTCTGGATGAATTATAGTCGACCGACTGTAACTTTCTTAAATGTTAGACGGTTTGCAGCGAGCAACCGGTTTGCTCTCTCTCTTTCTCTCTCTCTCTCTTTCGAGAGCAATATAGTTTAATATCCAGCGGAAATGGACGCGAACGGACATCAAAGACGCCCTCGGTCGGAATGCTAAATTGCTATTTCCGTGCAAACTTGTCCCTCGGGATTATTACGGCCACGTAAATGTATCTGTCCGCGCAATGTAGTCGAGCATCGCGAGATTCTTCCCTTCTGTCTGGCACTGGCTTTGCGACGAGAATTCTTTCTGTCCGGTCCGCAGTTGCGCGCCATAACAAAGATATAAGAATTCGATGAGGAACACACCACGTGGAGATTAGCTTCGTCTCGGCTGTTGGAAACTGGGGCGCTCTCGACGAGCAACTTTTAATTAACTCTTAACTGTTCACCGTCGCGCTGCTTCGTTTCGACGCTCGATTACGCGACACTTCCGAAACACGGCGAAGTACGTAGCGAATTTAGCAGCGTTAACGAACAAAGATGAGACGAGTGCCAAGAAGCAAGAGGAAGAGGAGGATTTTAAAGGACAAGCACGATCCACGGGACGGGGGAAACTCGATTTCCATTTCCTTGGAGAGAGTCCGTAAAAGTCTCGCTGTCGCTGCGTTGAAACGTTTCTTCCCGCTGTAAACGTTCCTGTAGCTCGGTAGCTGTCCGCGGTAAAACCCGCGGGAAGATCTCTTTCGCCGGGGGAATGCGCGTCGGGGTACTCACCGCTCGCCTCCGGCTGAATTTGCACGATTCTTATGCGAGACAAATAAAAGATCGCGACAGTTATTCCTCGCGGTTATTCATACAGTGGAGCGCGATCGATCGTCCAGAAAGACTTTTTCGTTTTACCGATGGACAATCTATGGGCGGTACTTTGTGTTCCATCACGTCGTATCATCACAGAATTACGATCCATTCTGATTTATCATTGTTTATATTTTTATATTTATTTTTATATTTTGCTTGTATTATTTATATTTTATATTTTACTTATATTATTTATATTTTTATATTTTATATTTTACCTATATTTTTATATTTTACTTATATTTTATCTATCTTTTTATATTTTACTTTATATTTTACTTATATTTTATCTATCTTTTTATATTTTACTTTATATTTTACATATATTTCATATTTTACCTATATTTTTATATTTTATTTTAGTTTTTACTTATATTTTTATATTTTACTTATATTTTATATTTTACTTATATTTTATCTATCTTTTTATATTTTACTTTATATTTTACATATATTTCATATTTTACCTATATTTTTATATTTTATTTTAGTTTTTACTTATATTTTTATATTTTACTTATATTTTATATTTTACTTATATTTTATCTATCTTTTTATATTTTACTTTATATTTTACATATATTTCATATTTTACCTATATTTTTATATTTTACTTTATTTTTCACTTATATTTTATATTTTACTTTATTTTTCACTTATATTTTATATTTTACTTTATTTTTTACTTATATTTATTTTTATATTTTTATTTATTCACTTATTTTTCTATGTGCTTCTATATATTTCCATACAGTTTTACATTTCTATTTTATTTTGTTACATTTCTGTCCGTTCATTTTCATATTTAAAATTTATATTTCTCGTATTTATATATATTTCTCGAATAACAGTAGAATTTCTGTTAGATATAAATAAATTCTACAAATAAATTCATAAATTCATAATTTCTGTTAGATACTTTATATAATTCATAATTTCTATTAGATACTTTATCTAATAGATGTAAAACGGTGTATTTTTAGAGACTCAAACGATTTTTCAGAAAACACACAAATAAAAGCTCGTGTATTCTATTGTATTTTATAGTTCTTCTATCCTTTTTCTTCTTAATGTCTCTGATAAGAATTCTATGCTTAGTTCTCAATCTTTTTTGGCATTTGTCTAAAATCCTGTTGCCCTATCCCTGTGACGCGTAATTCTTATTATTCAAACAGTGAATCTTTGATCTCTGTGGAATGTGTCTAAAAGGTCATTGATTCCAAGGTCTGAACAAGCTTCCGTGAAAGGAGAAAATTAGAAAGTGAAATTTTCATTTAAAGAAATGCACTCGTTCTCAAATTGCCCCGTGGGTTTAGTCCGGTGATGATAACAATTTCACGCGAGTGATTCAGTTTCGTCTGAATTTGCCACTGACGTCTATCGACCTTTCGATTTGCATAATTTCCTGGCCAACAAGGTCACCAGCTGCGGCTTTTAATTTACAGGGCATCCGCTCTGAGAAACGCGTCGAAAATATTCCAACACGCGCCTTCTGTCGTGCTCAACTTAACCGGGGCGTAAGTGGATCTCGGTTGGCACTTGACAAACGTAACTTACGCGTGCCAGACGCAGCGACGCCAGCAACCACCCTAACCGCCCCGTTTTCACCCTGCACCTTACACGGCTAGAACCGAGTCCATTTTCTTTCGGGAAATGTGACAGTATATGCGAGGTATATATATATATATCGTGCGACTTACCGGTTGGCGGAACGAACGCGAACAACACTTTCCAGAGTATCGTCAAGCCGTGCATCAGATAGTCGAGGGTAGACGGTGCAGCTGCCTCGCCGGTGCCTTCGCCATCGTCGTCGTCGCCGCCGCTCACCGTCAACGCCTCCGTGAACTGTTCCCTCCACGAGCTCGTCCCTGAGAACACGCGTTTCCCGTCAATTCATTTCCCTTCGCGAGGAATTTCTTCTTTTTATTAAAAATTTTTCTGTTGGACGCATTTCTTTTCTATTATCGGGACCATTTTTTTGGCTTGGTGAAAGAGGAAGGACATGGCGAAATAAGATTTTCTTCGACTAAACGAAGAGAATCAGAGATAAAACGGGGAGAAATTATAAAAATATAAACTGAAAAATATTTTTCGTTGTTTCATGCATTTTTTTTCTATTATCCAGATCATTTATGACTTGAAGGAAGGAAAGAAATGGTAAAATTCTTTTCTCTCGATTTTCTTCGACTAAACGAAGAGAATCAGACATAAAACGGGGAGAAATTATAAAAATATAAACTGAAAAATATTTTTCGTTGTGTCATGCATTTTTTTTCTATT